ATCTGATGAAGTGGCGACGAATTGGAGAGCATCTGGCACCAGATCTTGTCATCATTGTCGCCTTTCGTACCGCGTTGCCAAACCGGACCAATCTTGGACACGGTGCAGTGTTGAGCTACACGCGCTTCAACAATTGCTGTCCGTATTGTTTTTCGTCTTGCCACCGCCTCTGGCGCCGCCGCAAAGTACGTCCCAGGAGAAACGTTCATCGTCATCACATCCTTTTCCTTTTCGTCCTTTGTCTCGACTCTTGCCATATCCTCGACCTCGTCATTTACCCCGGAATCGTCCTTTACCTTGTGCTTCCCTCTTCCCATTCCATCGCCATTTGGGTCTGAAACCGCTCAACTGGTAGGTTTCTTCGAGGTCGAGTTTGTCGAAATATGATGTTATTTCGTCTTGGTCGTACCAATTCCAATAACTATCGTAAGCTCCGTATCGCAATTCATTCCGTTCCGCCAAATACTCTGACAATGAAGCCCCGTGTCCTCATCAGAAACAAACTCTGCATGTTCTTGTTGGTTTTCGTCCATATAGCAAGAGAAATTGTAGTCGTTGTCGTTCAACTCCGTGTAATCAGACGCACCGTAATGTTTGTGGTGATGAACTCCACCTGCTGCCATTTCCTGTTTGGCGATCCGACGTATCATACTGTAGTTGTCGTTGAACTTCGTCAGATCGCCATTGTGATGAAGATTGATGTTTGCAATCCTTCTGGCAGGAAGGCCGCTCCACTTAAACAGAAAGTGTGTCAGACCTGTTGAATTCAAATGTAGTCCAGATTTGCTCTCGGCATCCAGGAGCCGCTGTTTCAAGTTCATGAAGTAATCCTGGAGAGATGCCGAGCAACGCCGCGTATCCCAGAACCTGTTCAACATCTCGCCCTGCATATCCTGATCGTGTATCTCGAACGCGTCAGTCAGCTTCGCAATGAGGTGGCCGATACTTGCTGGACTTGCGGGAGTGATCTCGTCGCCGCTGCGAGGGTCCAGCACGGCATCCTCTTTGCAAAGAGCCAGAGCTGCATCACCAGTGCCAACCACGCCGTTCCGAGTCACCTTCGTACGCATGGCAATGTCGGACGCCGTGTCCAAAAGCCAGCTGGCCACCAGTGGACCAGCATCCTCCTCACACCACCAGAGGTGAAGTCGTTCGAAGACTTTCTTAAACGTGCAGTTTGGCAGGCCCGGCTTCCAACAGGGAGGCGCATAGCTGGTGAACTCTGGAAGGCTGTTCGGAAAGTTCCAGTCTGCTCCACCACCGGTCACCTGCCGCCATCGTCTCGAGGTCCTGGGAGCGGGCGTTGGGGGAGACGCCACTGGCGTCGAAGGATAGCGCGAGGAGAGTCGTACAAACACAAATCAGTCAATCCGACCTTCTAGAAGATCCGCTGCAGGCCGAAATTCAGCCCGAAGTTGTCCGTCCTCTTCGTCGTGGCGAAAGTGACGCGCCTGGCGGCGCGCGGCAGGCACGCCATCGCGCGCCCGAGCCCGGTCTGAGGTGGGGCAGGCTGGAGCTGGAGCTGGACTCCAACTCCGCTACCAAATTGAAATGTTTTTCCACCGCAAACACTCACCAGCTTCAGCCCATGCTCCGATTCAGCACGGCCAAACGATGTGGCTGAGAAGAAACAAGCATGGCCAAGACGAGCTACCAAACTGAGATGTCTAGTCTGAAATGCGCAAACCATGAGCCCTTGAGCCATACAGCGCAGGGGCAACATTGTGTGAGCACCCCGCTGTCCGATCTCATGAATTGCATACTCTGCTGCGGATGCTCTCAGTAGAGGGATGGGGAGGGAGCAGAAGGAGGGGAGAACGCTGGTTCAAGACAATTTCGGATCCGACTCGTCCGACAGCTTGATGTGTGCACTGGGTACGAATGCGACCTAACCGTGCGAATGCCTGCAGGGCCATATATGGGTGAGGCAGACAGCGTTGCCAAAATATTGAACGTCGCGATCTTGATCATAACCTGTGTGACGAGCATCTGTATGATGAAACAGTCTTACACAATCCTGATACCAAGAATATGAAAAATCTTCGAAGGATTTGGGTGGAGTTCTGCTGCCGCTCTGACCGTGACCACCTGGAGGAGGGAGAAGGGGCGGAGAGAGGATGGAGGAGGGAGGGAGGGGAGGGGGAGGAGAGGGGGAGGAGAGGTAGGGGGGAGAAGGCATCTGGAAGTTTATGGTGATGCCGATTTTCCTCCCTCGAAGAGAACATTGGAGACACGTGGCCGGCCCGCGACCCTCAAACGAGGCTGCTCAAAGATGCGGCCCCGAGGGACGGGGCCCTGGGACACACACACTAATAAATAGACACAAATAAAAGGATGTCCCATGTTTTCCCACATTTGGGGTTTTTCGTCTGCCCCCCACTTCCCACATGTTCCTATATTTTCTGGGGAATCGACGATTAATTGTGTCTGTGTATTTTTTCCCCTCCTTCCTGAGGGATGGGGCCCTGAGGTATGGGGCCCCAAGGATAGGAAAGGGACCCAGAGCAGAGCCCCTTCACTGCTTGAGCTCGCTCTCGTCCCAAGGTCGGGGCAAGGCGAGCTGAGACAACGTCGGCTCAGAAACGGTCCCCAGACCTCCCGGGGTCCAAACGCACCAGCTTCCCCAGCTGCGTCCGGCCGCGGCGACGAGGCGGCCCACCAAAGGCCAACCGCCGTTGTCCCAGCACGCTCTCCTCTTACCGCCCCCCACGATCGTTGACCCGGGTGGTTTTCGGGCCATAACTCGGGCCTCCAGCAGACACTCAAAAACGACCTGGCAGTCCCTGGACGCCTCTCAGCGGGACGCTGCTGCTGGAGGGCATCCCGAGGCTGGAACACCGCCGAGAACCCAGGGGCAAGCCCGAAACCCTCGAACCCTGAAAGCCTCGAACTCCCCTCCTCGAGGGCGCCACGTGCGAACCCTGCCCCTACCCCCCACGACTTCCGAGGGGGAGGGCGGGGTTCGCTTCGTTCGGGAGCTCTCGAGCGAAGTGAACCCCACCCTCCCCCTCAGAAGTCGTGGAGGGTAGGGCTCTCGCGCCTCGTCCTCCTCCCCCTCCTCCCCCCCTCCTCCCCCCCCCGCCTCCTCCCCTCCTCCTCCTCCTCCTCCTCCTCCTCCTCCTCCTCCTCCTCCTCCTCCTCCTCCTCCTCCCCCTATCCAACTCGAAAGCCTGGTCTCTCAGGGCCCCGCCTTCGCACACGCGAGAAACCCTCGCGCTGCGCGCCCTCTCCCGCGCCTCCGCGGGCGGCCCTCGTGGCCCCGGACCCCCGAGGCACCACGCTCTTGCTTCACCACGTGGCTCCCCAGAAACCTGGACCCCTGCCCGGGGACCGGCTCTTCGTCCCGAGTCGCTCTTTGACGGTCCCGAGGCTCCAGAAGGGCCCCTGGAATCCAAAACATAGTGAACAAAACCTGTTCATCTCTTGAGTCGCTCTTTGACGGTCCCGAGGTTCCAGAAGGGCCCCTGGAATGCAAAACATGGTGAACAGAAGCTGTCCATCTTGAGTTCTGCCACGACGCGAGGGGGTCTGGGTCAGGGCCCCGTCCCTCAGGGCGCCACCTCCACACACATGAGGACCCCTCGAGCCGCTCGCTCTCCCGCGTCCGCCGGCGGCCGCGGCATGCGAGAACGATCGCTGAGAGGGAACGACTGGCCCAGGGGGGCAAGGATTGCAAAAAAACACAGGATTGCAAAAAAACCCTGGATTGCAAAAAAAACCAGGATTGCAAAAAAACCCGAACGAAGGATTGCAAAAAAAACCCTTGAACGAAGGATTGCAAAAAAACCCTTGGGTTTTTTTGTTGCAATCCTTTTTGCAATCCTTCGGTTTGTTTGCGAAACATCGACCTGGAATCGCCGACACATGGCCCACAGATCGGCGATGGGCCCCCGAGAGCGCCTCCGCACGGTCCTGGGCGGGGTGGGTTGTCGGGCCTGATGCCTTGGCGACCGGGGGTCGAAGCAGTGAGCCTGTCCCCCCCTAACGTTGCCCCTGATTTGAGAGAAACGTTCCGAGCCGCTGGCGTTCCCGCGCCCGCCGGCGAACGAACAGGGAATGTGTCGACCCATATCCCCAACTCTGTGGGGTACTCGCGCGGACCTAAAATTTTGGGCCCAACGCGGGGTGTACGACATGGGGGGGCGTCCATCCTCGACACGGGTGCGTCCGAATAGCCCCAAGGGGGGTGTATTTCCGAATTCCCCTCCTCTTCTGAGCGGCTTGATCCTTCGAGGAAAAGTCAAGAGGTCGGGAGCGAAAAAACGCCTGCGACGAACCGCGCCAGAGGACCCCCGAAACGCCCGCAGCGAGGCGCAGATGCTGGAACGCACCCCGAGGAAACCGCCCAGAACTGACGAAAACGCCCGAGGGAACCTCACATCTCGAGCCTCGACCCCGAGAAGCCTGCGAGCCGCTCGCTGTCCGAGGCACGGCCGCTGGCGAACCGCGGCAGGTGAGAGCGAGCACTGAGCGGGAACGACGAACGATACTGGCGGGCACTGGCCCAGGGGGGGAACATCGGCCTGGCATCGGCGATACATCGCCGATATATCGGCGATGGGCCCCCGAAAGCAAATCCGCACGGGCCTGGGCGGGGCGGGCTATCGGGCCCTTTCGGCGATCGATGGGCGATCGGTGGTCGAAACATCCCGCCGTGAGCTTATGGGCCATCGCTCCGCGGATGACTCGGTGACGACGTGGGCGGTTGAAGGTCGATGCGTCCCCTCCTGGGCCCGCCCCCCCTAAATTGCCCCTGGTGGTTTTCGGGCCATAACTCGGGCCTCCGGCGGCCGCTCGGGACGATCCGGGCACCCCAAGGAACGCTCTCGGCGAGGCGCACTGCCGGAGAGCATCCAGAAGCGGGAAATGCACGGCAAACCGACGAAAACGTCCGGAAACCTTGAACTCCGACACCTCGTCTCTTCCGAACTGGGCGAGGCGGGCTATCGGATCCGCATCGGCGCTCCGTGGGCGAACGCGGGGCGCCCCCCCCCCCCCGCCTGCAGCGACAGCCCCGGCGGCCGGAGGCCGGCCGGGGAGCAGCGGCCGAGCAGTTCGGGCTCTCGTTCCTGCCCGGGCCGACACGAACGGATGGATCGATGATGATGCTGATGATGATGAAGAAGAAGAAGAAGAAGATGATGATGATGATGATGATGATGATGATGATGATGATCATGGTGGTGATGATGGTGGTGGTGGTGGTGACGGTGCCGGTGCGGGTGCCGGTGCCGGTGACGATGATGATGATGATGATGATGATGATGATGATGATGATGATGATGATGATGGTGGTGATGGTGATGGTGATGGTGATGGTGATGGTGATGGTGATGGTGATGATGATGATGATGATGATGATGATGCTGATGATGATGATGATGGACATGATGGTGCTGTTAATAATGAGGTTGATGGCGATGGTGATGATGGTGGGGGTGCTGATGGTGACCATGATTAACGCGATGCTGATGACGATGACAATGATGATAGTAATGATAGCGCTAGTGATGGTGATGGTGATGATGGTGGTGATGAAGATGGTGGTGGTGCTGGGTGATGATGGTGATGATGATGAAAATGGTGGTGATGATGATGAGTTACTAATACATGTATTCCACAGGTGAGCTCCCTGGACAGCACATGTACCTTGCAGTGACTTGCACATCCTGGAACTCGGGTCAGTGGGCCACTACAAGGCCTCGGCAAACAAGATGTGTGTCTTAACACACCACACGAGCATGCATTACAATCTTAGCTCGAAATGGGACCCACCCGCCCCCCCTCGAGGGAAGCACGCGCGATACCCTTTCTTATATATTGCGCCTGTGCTCTCGTCCTTCTCTGTGGCGAGTGGGGGGAGCAAAATGCGGCCTCCCACCCAGGAGCGCGCCCCCCTCAACGCTCATCCCTTTGCCCAGGGGCGCGTCCGGGGGGCGGTCAACTCCCGCCAGAGGTGTTGACAGTCATAGGTGCACAGACTGAGAATTTGCCGTCAACCCCGATGTTCCCAGCGGCCTCTCGAGGCCTGCCGAGCACGTCGACGAGCTCGTCTGACTGCGTCGCAGAACACTGGCCCTCCAGTGGCCACGGCGCCCCGAAGAACATCGGGCCGCCTAGAGAGAGAGCGCGCCGCAAGCCGTCCGCGGCCCCCATGGCGAGCAGGCTGCCCTCGCGCACCCTTTTCTTGTCGTCCAGCGAGAGGTGCTTCAAGCCGCCCCTCTCGGGCCGCACGGCAGTGCGCAGCGACGAAGAGAACCTCGAGCAGGGAGGGGCCCAGCCAGAGGCGTCGAACTCGCCGATGTCGACGCGGTTCGGGAGGAGGTCCCGAGCGGTCTGCTTGGCGAGGTCGCGCAGCTCCAGGTCGATGTCGACGTCGACCTGAAGCGGCAACCCTCCGAGTCTCCCGACGCGCGCTGCAAGCCCGTCAGCCGGCCGCATGGAGCCGCAGCAGGGCAGGACGACGCGAGGTCTGCCTTGCACCTGCGGTCTGGCCGCGACGCGAGCTGCGGCGGAGTCCGCTGCCGCGGGCAGCCGCAGCGCGTCGGCCCCACCGCCAGAGGGCCGGGGCATCCATGAGCTGTCTCACCCTCCGGCCCACGGCTGCCCGGCCGCGCCGGAGGCGAGCTTGTGAGGCTCGCCTCGGCTGCGCTCCCCGGCATTCGCCATCTGGGCGGCGGCGAACCGCGGGCCCTCGCTGCCGCCAGTCGCGCCTCGCCAACAGGGGAAGCGGCGGCTGCCGCTCTAGCAACCCTTGCCTTTGGCGCATTTGCCCCGGCCACCCTTGAAGCTGGGCGTCTTCGCTGCGTCGTTGGCCCACCCGTCCGCGCCGCGGTCGCGGGCCAAGCGCTTGGCGCACTGCCCGTCAGACGCGCGCGTGACCGAACTGGGCACCCCATTCTTGCACGCGCCAGACTGGAACGCCTCGCACAAGGGCCCGTTCATCTCGTCTGCGTCAATGTCTGATCCAAGTTCGTGACCTTGTGTGACACGTATTTGGCAGACATCACACCATCCGTCACTCTCATCAGTATCACGGCGAACATGATAGTCGAGTCGTTGTTTGTAGTGACCTCTGTATATGCAGTAGATGTTGTGTGCTTGTTGGCCTGCGGTGTACTCGCGGAACCAAGGAGTGTCATGCTAATGGCGTTCTCCGTCACGGTGGTAGGCGATCTCGTTCACATCTACCCAGCATCGCCACGCACAAAACTGTCCAGTCGAAGCTAACGTCGCTAATGTTGTTCATGAGGGCATGGCGTAGGAGCCAGGGCCAGAACGTCCTCCTCCTCCTCTCTCTCCTCCTCCCTCTCCTCCTCCTCCTCCTCCTCGTCCTCCTCCTCCTCCTGCTCCTCCTGGCCCTCCTTCTTCTCATCTGTTTCCTCGTCACAGTAGTAATAGTAGTAGTCGTCGTCGTCGTAGTCGTAGTAGTAGCAATCGCAGTTATAGTAGCAGGAGTAGCAGTAGGAGTAGTAGGAGTAGTAGTAGTAGTAGTAGTAGTAGTAGTAGTAGTAGTAGTAGTAGTAGTAGTAGTAGTAGTAGTAGTAGTAGTAGTAGTAGTAGTAGTAGTAGTAGTAGTAGTAGTAGTAGGAGTAGCTGTAGTCGTAGTAGTAGTAGTAGTAGTAGTAGCAGTAGCAGTAGTAGTCGTAGTAGTAGTAGTAGTAGTAGTAGTAGTAGTAGTAGTAGTAGTAGTAGTAGTAGTAGTAATCGTCGTCGTCGCCGTCGTAGTAGTAGTAGTAGTAGTATTAGTAGTAGTGGTAGTAGTAGTAGTAGTAGTAGTAGTAGTAGTCGTGGTAGTGGTAGTGGTAGTAGTACTACGAGTAGTACCAGTAGTACTAGCAGTACTCGTCGTAGTTCAAGTAGTGCCAGTAAGCGTATCAGTAGTAGTACTAGTAGTAATAGTAGTAGTAGTGGTAGTAGTAGTAGAAGTAGTAGAATTAGTAGTAGTTGTAGTAGTAGTAGTAGTAATAGTGGTAGTAGTAGCAATAGTAGTGATAGTGGTAGACATTGTAGAAATAGTAGTAGTAGTAGTAGTAGTAGTAGTAGCAGTAGTAGTAGTAGTAGTAGTAGCAGGAGTAGTAGTAGTAGTAGTAGTGGTAGTAGTAGTAGTAGTAGTAATGGTAATAATAGTCGTCGTCCTCCTCCTCCTCCTCCTCCATCTCGTGCTCCTCTTCCTCCTCCTCCCTCTTATCCTCCTCCTCTTCCTCTTCCTCCCTCTCCTCCTCCTCCTCTTCCCCCTCCTCCCCCTCCTCCTCCTCCTACCCCTTCCCCTCCTTCTGCTCATATGTTGCTTCGTTTTAGTAGTAGTAGTAGTAGTAGTAGTAGTACAAGTAGTGGAAGTAAGAGTAGCAGTAGTAGTAGTAGTCGTAGTCGTAGTCGTCGTCGTAGTAGTAGTAGTAGCCATAGCCGTAGTAGTAGTAGTAGTAGTAGTACTACTACTACTAGTCGTAGTAGTAGTAGTCGTAGTAGTAGTTGTAGTAGTAGTAATAGTAATGTAGTAGCAGTCGTAGTAGTAGTAGTAGTAGTAGTAGCGGTAGTAGTAGTAGTAGTAGCAGTAGTAGTAGTAGTAATAGTTGTAGTAGCAGTAGTAGTAGTAGGGGTAGGAGTAGTAGTAGTAGCAGTAATAGTAGTAGTAATAGTGGTAGAAGAAAAAAGTAGTACTTGTAGTAATCGTCGTAGTAGTAGTAGTAGTCGTAGTAGTAGTAGCCGTAGCAGTGGTAGTAGTAGTCGTAGTAGCAGTAGTAGTGGTGGTGGCGGTGGTGGTAGTGGTAGTGTAGAAATAATAATAGTAGTACTAGTAATGGTGGTGGTAGTGGTAGTAGTAGGTAGTAGCAGTAGCAGTAGCAGTAGTAGGAGTAGTAGTAATAATACTGGTACTAGTAGTAGTGGTAGTAAGACTAGTCGTACTAGTAGTAGTAGTAGTAGTAGTCGTAGTAAAAGTAGTAGTAGTAGTAGTAGTAGTATTAGTAGTAGCAGTAGGAGTCGCAGTAGTAGTAGTAGTTCTACTACTACTGCTAGCAGTAGTAGTAGCAGCAGTTGTAATAGTAATAGTAGTAGTCGTAGTCGTAGTCGTAGTCGTAGTCGTAGTAGTAGTAGTAGTAGTAGTAGTAGTAGTAGTAGTAGTAGTAGTAATACTAGTAGTAGTGGTAGTGGTAGTAGTAGTAGTAGTAGCAGCAGAAATAGTAGTGGTAGTAAGAATAGCCGTACTAGTAGTAGTAGTAGTAGTAGTAGTAGTAGTAGTAGAAGTAGAAGTAGTAGTAGCAGTTGTAGTCGCAGTAGTAGTAGTACTACTACTACTGCTACTACTACGACGACTACTACTACTAGTAGCAGTAGTAGTAGCAGCAGTTGTAATAGTAGTAGTCGTAGTAGTAGTGGTAGTAGTGGTACTAGTAGTAGTAGTAGTAGTAGTAGTAGCAGTAGTAGTAGTAGTAGTCGCCGTAGTAAGAGTAATACTAGTAAAAGTAGTAGCAGTCGTAGTAAAAGTAGTAGTAGTAGGAGTAGTAGTAGTAGTAGTAGTCGTAGTCGTAGTCGTAGTAGTAGTAGTAGTAGTAGTAGTAGTAGTAGTAGTAGTAGTAGTAGTAGTAGTAGTAGTAGTAGTGGTGGTAGTAGTCGTAGAAGTAGTAGTAGTAGTAGTAGTAGTAGTAGTAGTAGTAGTAGTAGTAGTAGTACTGGTAGTTGTAGTGGTGGTGGTGGTGGTTGTAGTCGTAGTCTTCCTTCTCCTCCTCCGATTCCTCCTCCATGCCGTCCTCCTCCTCCCCCTCTTCCTCCTCCTCCCCTTCCCCCCCAAGCCGTGTCGGCCCAGGCGATCCGGGCTTGCCCGAATGATTTCGACGCGGCTCGCTCGGGCGAGCCACGGATGGCGACGAAGCATCCTTCCTGGCCGCGTGGGAACTGCGCGAAGGTGCATGGCAATGCGTTCGCCAACTATGCCCACCGCACCCACTGCCTGCGCTGCGACAAGCAGGCGCCAAAAGGAGTGTTGGAGAAGCAGAACAAAAAGCAGTATGGAAATGGTGGGAGGCCCAAGGCTCCACGCGCCTGGGGACGACAGACCAAAGTGACCTGG